GCTCCCGTCTGGTCGAAGATCTGGATGTTAATGAAGCTGATCGTGTAGCGGATTTGACAGATCAGTTGATGAGTGTACAAATGCGTTCGTCGGAGACTGTTGCGCTTTTCACCGCCCGCTTTGAGAAGCTCCGCCGCGATGCCAAAGCCGATGACAACTTCGTTATGGTGAACAAGTATATCGATGCCCTCTTACCTGACCTTCAAGACCGGGTGTATACTGCTCGTGCTGGTTTGCCGTCGCACCAGAAGAACACTTTGGCTGGTATTTCCTCCTCGCTCTCGCTCTGGAGAAGGGCGTCAACAAGGCTCGCTCCCGCAAGGCCAATCGGACTCGGGACTCCGCTCCTTCCTCTTTGGGGGATGATTCCTCCTCTACTGCCGCTTCTTCCGGTGGTTCGTCGTCTCGTAGAGATGGCAAACGCCGCCGTGTGGAGAGACCCTCGCAATTCTGTGAGCTTCACGGGAATGGTAGTCATGACACCAAGGACTGCAAGGTACGAGCTAAGGTACTAGCTCAAAGTTCTTCGGTTGGTTCGAGTGCAAGCATGCACAACCCCTTCCGGGCCTCGTCTTCTGCTGGCTCACCTTCGGGCTCTTCCTCGGGCTCTTCTTTGGGTTCGTCAGGACCCTCATCTGCATCCTCATCTTCCTCTTCTTCTGCTGGTGCCCTAGACGTGGCAATACCTGTCACAAGTGTGGTGCTCCTTGGCGACATGGGCACAAGTGCCAAACATTGGCGATCCGTTCGTCTGATGTTGTGGAGTCCGAGCCTCCTGCTCCTCCTAAGAAGAAGGATGATGACGACGACGATTTGGACATCGTCATGGGTGATTTGGACCTCGCGGTTGGTCCCTGTACAGATTGTAAGTCTACACAGTCTTCACATGAGTTTTCTTTCGAGAATACACGCTCATATTACATTCCTGTTTACCTAGAAAAACACAAGTTCCTTGCGCTCCTTGATCCTGGCGCGACACATAGCACTGTTTCCTCGTCGCTGTGTAAGCAAATGGGTTGGCAAGTGGAGCCTCGGCCTGGTCATGTGCACACTGCACACAAAGGGACTCTTGTACCTAGATTAGGAATTACAAAGAATAAATTACTTATTTCTTGCAATGACAAAGCTATCTACCATCACTTTGAAGTGTTCGATTACATGGTAATGCTGATATTGCCATTGGCAATGACATCAAACATCACTTTGGTATATACATTGGCAATCTTCCTTATTGTTGGCACAGACCAGGAGTTCCCAGAGATCCTCCTACGATGCCAGATGAGTATATCCCAAACGCCAGTCCAGCGGGTAGCAAGGAACAGCAGCAATCGTTTCTTGATGCTCTTGCCCCGTACCTGGATGCTAACGCGGCTATACCAAAGGATGCCTATTGTACGATGCCAGAAGCAGTGGTACGTTTACCCACTCCTGCAGGGAAAGTGCATACCGCTCGCCATACCGAGTTGCAGATGCACTGAAACCAGTTCTTCGGAAACAGCTGGACGAATGGTTAGAAGCTGGGGTGATCGCAGTATCTCCTACTTACACACCATTCAACAGTGGCTTGACTTGTGTCCCCAAACGCGATCCAGTCTCTGGCGAACCCATTGCGTATCGTTGGTGTATGGACGTACGGCACATCAATGTCATGCTCGATGACTACAACTTCCCTATGCGCGATATACCTTCCATCTTTTCCTCGTTATCTGGTAACACGGTATACAGTGTCTGTGATGTGACCGCAGCTTTCAATACCATGCCAATAGCAGAAGAGGATCAATTCAAGCTCGGCATGATTGTCGATAAGACTTGCTATATCTGGAAGCGTGCTTGTTTTGGATTGAAGATCCTTCCTCAACAATGGAGTGCTTTGCTGACTAAGTTGACGCACGATCTCCCATTTGTGCAAACCTATCTCGATGATTGCATTGTGGCGTCGCCAGATCTGGAGACACATAAGTTGCACGTCATTGAACTGGTGAAAAGATTGACATCCGTGAACCTTACCTTGAACAGGAAGAAGTGTCACTTTGCACAAAAGTGTGTGTACTTGTTGGGATTCCAGATCTCGTCTCTTGGTGTCGCACTTGACCCTCGAAAGGTGTCCAACGTGCTTGATTGGCCTAGACCTCAGACAGGTCGCGATGTGCAGAGCTTTCTTGGCCTGTGCAATTTCTTCCGCTCGTTCCTACCACGTGCAGCAGAATTGATGCGTCCACTTGATCAGTTACGAAACGCTCGCTCTCTGGATGGTCTCTGGACTATCAAACACACCGAGGCATTCGAACGATTGAAGGAAGCACTTTCACGCGCACCTGTTTTAAGCAACGTGGATATGAAGCATGAGCTTCGTCTTGCTACAGACGCTAGTTCAACTTCCATTGGAGGAATGCTGTTCCAAGTCATTAACAATCAATATCGTTACATTGGTTTCGTGGCTCGAGCACTCACCTCTAGTGAATCCCGATATGGAACTACAAAGCGTGAATTGTTGTCAATCGTCTACTGTCTACAGAAATGGCGTCAGTGGTTGTGGGGTACACGTAAACCTTTCACGGTTTACACCGACCATCGCGTGCTTACGTTTCTTCATACCCAACCGGTTGCAAACCAGATGATTATCAATTGGTACGATGTCATTGGCGATTATTCATTTCGAGTAGCGCACATTCCTGGCATTATGAATCTGCTGCCTGATTACTTGAGTCGTCTGTTCTCGCGTCCGTTGGAAGAAAAAGACAAAGACCCTGCCACGAGTGGCGATGCGCCTTCTTCAACAGACGCGCAGTCACCTGCGTTACGTATGAGTCAAGTGACCAATACTGTTGATATGATCACACCTCCGAATGAGGCACGATCCGGACTTCTCGAAGAAGCTCACCTTCTTGGACATTTCGGTGCCGATGCTATTGTCAACGCACTTCACGATGACAGTCTTCACTGGACTAACATTCGCAAGGATGCACTGAACACAGTGGCCAGATGCCCCGATTGCCAACGCTTCAACATCGGGAAACATGGTTACCATCCTTTGAAACACGTGAAAGCTGACAGACCTGGAGATCATTGGGCAATCGACCTTGGCGACTTCAATGTTGTCAGTGACCGTGGTAATGCTTATTTACTTGTCATGCTGGATATATTCACACGTTTCGTGGTGTTACGAGCTATACCTGACAAATCAGCTTCCACCATCGCGTATACTTTAGTTGACGTGTTCTCTTTGCTGGGCTATCCTATGGTCCTTACGCATGACTGGGGTACAGAGTTTCACAACTCTTTATGCAAACTTCTTGCTAAAGCCTCTGGTTACGAGCTACGCTTATCTTCAAAGTATCATCCGCGCGGGAATGGTGCCGCCGAGAATGCTGTAGGAATTGCAAAGCGCACCATCATCAAGCGATTACAAGGAAAGAACACTGAATGGGATCTTTTTGTGTCCAGTACACAAATGGCGATGAATTGTCGCCATACCAGATTGCATGGTTCTCGTCCTTTCAGCGTGATGCTTGGCCGTAAGCCTAATGGTTTCCAAGACTATACCGGTGTTCAGCTCGGATCAGCCTCTTCATCCTCTAAGGATGCTAAGGCCCTGATGCAACACATCGAGGATTGGGAAAAGGTTGTCATTCCTGCTATCAGCGCTCGCATGGATGCTGTACGAGCTATTGAGAAAAGTAAGTTCGACAGTCAGAACCGCATTATTGATGGTTTCCCTATCGGCAGTAAGGTCATGATCAAGAACATTGCAAGAGCGGCTAAGACCAATCCTCTTTATGTTGGCCCTTACACTGTCTATGGTATTACCAAAGGGGGTAGTTATGTTCTTTCTGACACTACTGGGGAATTGCTATCAAGAAACGTTCCACCTTCGCACATCAAGCAAATCTCACCGGATTCCACCGTACAATCCGACGACACATACGAGATTCTTGCAGTTGTGGATCACAAACTTGACAGTAACAACCAATACCTATACCGGGTACGTTGGAAGGGATATGATGATCCTAATGAAGATACTTGGGAACCTACCGATCACTTCAATAGCTTGGATCTCATCCAACAATATTGGAGTCGACGTGCGACCGCTCCTACTGCCAATAACAAACGTAGACGTGCTGATGGGACCAGTACAAACTCGCGAGCTAACAGCTTCTCCATGACTTCTGCTCACAGTCATATAGAAACACGCTCGTCAAAGCGCAGACGTGTTGCCGCAGCCAACACTGCCTCCAGTATAAAATCAAAACGTGCTTAGACATGACTTTTTTGCCCATCATTTTTCCCACTGGGTTTTTTTTCCGGGTTTTTCTAGTCATTGGTATGCTGTTTATCCACAAGCGTAGGGACCTACAACAATCCTTTTTCATACGGTTGTTTCGTCTGGAGGGGGGCAATGTCGTATCCTGACATACCAGTCATCCATTGTCTACAGACCTTTCCATCTCAGCCTTTGTTACATCCGTTCCTTTATTTCGACATCAACAACCGCACAGTTATCTATTGGCCTGTTCACTGGCTTGTGTGTCAGTGAGACCTTGATCTGGGTTCAGACTTCAAGAAGGACCATTCACGTTAACTCAGTCTCTGCATGACTATCCACTCCTTCGTAATAAGGCAGTATGGTCATTAGGGATTACGGCGATAACACGGATTCGGCTCTGATAGAAAAGCATTCACCTTCTCCGTCCCGACTCATCATCATTATAAATAGAGAGTAGTTCTCTTCAATAAAACATTATCTTATTTTTGGTCTCGTCATTTGAAGCTTTCCAATTGAGCGATACCACAAATTCTCTTATTAAAAAATTAAAAAAATAAATATATTTATATTTTCTTTAATAATAAATTATAAAAACTCTTCTAAGCATTAAAATTAAATAATATGTAGCTATTGATAGTCTTTTTTAATTACTAATCTTTTATATTTTAAAAAATAAAAAATTGCTTTTTTAGCGCCATATCTGGATAATCCTTCCACTGAAAATGCTGTGGAAGATGCCTCCGTAGCTCAGATGGCAGAGCGTTGCTCTCGTAAAGCAAAGGTCGTGTGTTCGATTCACATCGTAGGCAGAAGGATAGATAATCTTTCTAATCTACCCTAATTTTATAGTTCGCTCGACGCATAAACGTTTTCCCGTTCGCAATGTCAAGATTACTGTCGCTTCTAGTCGATGTAGCCTCTTTTATACTTACAGCAATCGTTGGTGATCAAAGATCAGTACGTTTTGGCATAAACCCGTTGAAGCTATTTTCTTTAGTCATATCAGTGCTTATATATTATAAAAAAAGGGTGCCTGGCTCTGTGATATAAGGTAAGTACCGTGATTGTTTTGTCGTCGACTATATCGTAATGAACGGTAGCGCTCGCATTTTGAGGATGTTCTCAATCGTGAAAAATGATGAGTTTGTAAACAAGTGGTAAAAAAAGCCTTTTACTACGATATTGTATCGGCGATCTGTGCTTGTTTGCGGGATTAAAAACGCTGTATCTGATTATTGTGCTTTTATCCAATAAGCAGCCAAGCACTCATGTGTAGGCTTATTGAAGCAGCCGACACTTCACTTCGCGGACGACTAGAGAATTGGTATCCCATTTTCTTTAATATGCACATATTAATTGACCTCCTTTCAGGAAACTCAGTATATACCCTAATTATCCACCTCTGTTAGGACGTAGTAAGTTCCGGCATAAAGTGTTTCATAAATTCACAAAATGTATAACAATATCCAGCCATAATGCTCCTGGCCTATCATCAACTGCCCCCAGAGTACATGAGAAACGCGTTTTCGAATCATGTGTAACAGCGTATCCATTTAGTTCACTTATTATGCAGCTTATAAGTAGGATATCTTTTAATTCATGTGCGAGCACACTCAAGAAAGAGATCTATTACGTTTTTTAAAGATATTGCAAAGCCATTCACTAAAAGGCTTCTTTCACTAGATACTTTGAATGCAAAACCTCAACCACAAAATGACAAAATTTTGAAGCGTTGCCCTTCCCCTCCTATCATCTGGTGAACTTTATCACCAAGTGCGCGTACTACACAGTATATCTTATACGTAGAATGTATTATTGTACTAGACACGTACTGAATATTCAGGATCAAGGGTAAGAGATCTGCGTGGTGAAATATCGTACGTTGCATGTGGTGCTTTAGTGGCGTTATGATGTGCGAGCATCCCGATTTGTACTTACTCGATAATTGGCTGGGGTACTGATATTTTTTCTGATATCTGGTGCAAGACATCTATCCAAAAGCTATTAGCATCGGTAGCGCTGGGATGAGAGTACATGCGCCGTTACATACTTAGTATCGCGTAGCAGCTAATTTGCACATCTCACAGGTTTGTATTGTTCATTACTAAGGTGTGAGTCCACTCAGGCCGTGATTTATGCAATGTAACATCGATTAAGGTTACACACTTGACGCATACGGTTAATTAGGAAATATAAGCAGATGAAAACGTAGAGGCGGTAATTAGGTTTGATGGTTGCTAGCGTGATGTGAGTGGAGTGAGATTTAATTATAAATAGAAGAGAAAGAGTAAACCATTTTCAATTGAGGGTATTTGAATGAAAACGAGATGAAAAGCAAACTTTTATAATGATAATAAAAGAAGGGTAAATTTAAGACGAAGCTTTTTGTTCTTCGGAAATGGTATCATCCATGACACAGCTACTGTTGTTACTGCTGCTTGCCATGCTGATTCGGTTCTTTTCTTGCTGTTGTTGTAGGTCATTATGAGGCGGCCGAAGCAGCTGCTGTTGTTTTTCATTGATGCTCGATGTTGGTGCGCGTGTCGACATGTATCCTCCCTTACCGCCCAAATCCAATGCCCCCAATACAGCATGATACAGGAATTTGTAAGACCAAACATTGCCGCGCATGCGACGAATATCAACAATATACAACCCTGGAAGATTCTTGATTTTGCATATTTCCATGCTGAACCGAACTTCTTCTCCTGGATCAACCACCGGGTCGCCGTAAATAATTGCACTGGCTTCTTCGTCGACAACGACAGCAGATCCCTGATCTGTGTTGCTGGTGCGTCGTAAAAGGTTGCGGAACCGTGGACCAGTTGAAGTCATCATCATGCGGCGTTTCTTGTGGTCGTTTGCGCTGTTACCGTGATGGACCCTGTGAGATGACGATGGTGATGGGTTGCCAGGCAACCGACGTTTTCGACGAACGCACTTGAGCTTGAATTCACCGTCGTCTTTGACATCGATGCCCATTGAAATCAAGGTTTGCTTTACTTCAACGAGAACCTCTTGTGGTGATCGTGACGTCAACGCATTCTGGTCAACAGCTCCATGATAAGTGCGAAGTTTGGCATCCTTGAAATCTACTGCATATGATCCCAGCGATTTGCCCAAAGTTGAAGTGTTTCGGCTAGAGTTTATGATCATATCGGCGTGGAGTCGGTTGTTATTGTCTCTGGTGCCTGTTATCATCATGTTAACAAAACGAAACATACCGAGGATCGGAAAAACTTACTCAGAGGCTTCTTCTTGAACCAATCCATGAGTTTCTTTCCTGCACTCTTGTGCTTGTATTCACGACTCATTGTATCTGGAGAGGTTGGACTAGGTGGCAATCGTGTTGTACTCTGCTCGGATGCCGATGGTGCCATGGAAACAGTGGATTGTGGTCGTGGCTCTTCCTTGGTTACAGCCAGCTTGATATCTGGACGTGGTGATGAGGGAGGGTGTGTTGGTTGAGTCGAGGGTCTTCGCGTTGTAAACGAGATTGTTCTTCTATCTCCAGCATTGTTTGTCATTGGATTGACAAGCAAGCTGAGGGCTTTACGTCGAGTGCCTCTCGTGCTAGTGGATTGCGTCGGTGGAGCTGGAATGGGTTGTGTCGGGCGAGGATGGTACATGCTTGTTCGAGAAGGTTCTTTGGGGCGCTGTGGCAAGGGCTTATCTACTGTCATACCATTGGGTGTGCTCATGCTGGACAACGGAGGTTGTTCTTGCGAGGTGGCAACAGGTGGTTTATTTGGTGATACAGTGGCCTCGTGTTGCCGTTGAACGCTGGACAAAAATTTGGCGTGCAGAATCGAATTGCCGGGTTGTGTTGCTCGTGGTGGTTCGGCAGACATGGAGAATGGTCTTCGATTGCTGCTGGTGTTACTGCTCGAGCGTGAAGGAGTGGCCGCTGGTTTCGAGACTGACAACAAATTCTTAATCATTTCTGTACCACGTTGATGAACCTTTTTGCTAGTCGAGCGCGTGGGTTGAGGTGATTCTGTCGTAGATGGTGCATCGGGCATTTCTTTATCCTCTGCCGTGGTGGTACTGGTTGACTCGGTGTGAACGGAAGCTGGGAGCTCCATGGATGAAATGTCGCGCGTAACCGTGTCAACTTCAGCAAGTGGTGTTGGCCTTTCTGGCTGAATCGACTCGTGTTCCTTCTGGATTTCCCTTTCTTCTGCATCTTCTTGTTTGGCACCCTCCTTAATTGGCGCGGGTGCTGGGTCAACATCCATTTGGTCGTCATTGTTGTCGGCAACCGAAGGAACTGTCTGATCTGCGGGCAGTTGCTTAGGCGACGCGGGCACGACAACTTCTGTCGACTTTGGAGGTGTTGGGACCCTGTCTTCCTCGGCGGGAGTAGGCAGTGGCAATTCAGCGGAAGCCATCGCCTCCAATTCCAGCTCACGGAGCGACTTGTCGAACAGCGTATGGTGAGGCCTGAGCCACGGATGGTCCATGATGGTCTGCATGGTGCATCTCTTTGCTGGATCGGGGACCAGCATTTTGCGCAACAGATCGCGGGCATCAGCACTCACATAGTCCGGAAAGGCGAGCTCGGTGTTGAGGATATATTTGTAGAGCAGATTAATATTGTCGCCGTCTGGATTGGCTGGATCGTCGTCAAAAGGAAGGTAGCCACACAACATGGCGTACAAGATCACGCCACATGACCATATATCGACTGCTGAACCGACGTAGAGACCCTCGCTGATTACCAGTTCGGGCGCTGCGTAACAGGGCGAGCCACAGGAGGTGGACATCAGGTCGTCCTTGGCGGACGAGAACTGGTTGGCGAATCCAAAGTCTGTGATGATGATGCAGCGGTTTCGGTCCAAAAGCAGGTTCTCCTAAAAAATAGAATGCATGACCCACCACCACATGCGTAAGCGGACTTGTTGCTCGGATTTCAACCCCATTTTCTCACCAGTTTAAGGTCTCTATGGATGATGTGTTTTTTGTGCATGTAATGCACACCACTGATCAGCTGCGCAAACAACCGACTAGCGTCCTTTTCCTTGAGATAGCGGTGCGCCAGGATGTACTCGAAGAGCTCGCCCCCTGTGGAAGCCACGGCGGTTAGCGATACATCCCCAATGCACGAAGCAACTTTTTAATTTTACCTGATGCACACTGCAGGATGATGCCGATGTAGCGTTCGGTCTCGATCACATCATATAGCTTTACGATGTACGGATGGCGCACTTTCTATAGATTCACGAGTCAGCATTGGTACCTGGATTGGATGGTGCTATACTTGCCCGCAACACGGAGATCTCGCGCTCCACTTTGCTCATCCGGGTGGACGAGTCGATGTTATCCTTTTTAATTAGTTTGATCGCCACCTAGCACAACAAACACATGAGAATTCTGCACAAACAGCGCAAACCAAACAACACTACCTCTTGGCCAGTCTCGATATGGATGCCCAATTTGACTTTACCAAATTCGCCTTCGCCCAGTGTCTGGAGCAGGAGATATGGTCCAAACACTGTGGGCTTACGTCCAGCGGGCGGGTGGTAGTGATAAAGCTGGTAGTAGTATTGCCACCACGGCTGATCTGGGGTGGACAAGAGCTGCTGCTGGCGCTGTTCTGCTAATTGCTGCTGATGGCGCAACACCGCTCGTTGCAGTTCGCTCGGCATTGCTGTGACGGAATAAGCGCGCTGTTGATTTTGCTGATGGAGCCGGGGATAAGGCAGTTCCGGAGATTGGGGTGCATAAAAATGAGGGTCATAATATGCGTCGCTGATGGGGCGGTGCTGCTGCGAGGAGGAGACATCTCCACCATCGATCTTGTCTATGG